ATTAATACACACAATATAAACATATTTTACATACAATACACAATACATAGCCTACATGCCATACATACCACACATGCCATACATTCCATGCATACAATGCATAACATAAACACTGTAAATTTCATATATACCAAGGCCGCCACAGATACGATCCTGGTATTGTACCGGCGATACCAGTACCGTATCTGTGGTTACAATACCCATGAACTTGGTATCTGATATTGTACCTGACCTATGGTACAGTACTGAGTACTGTACCGTAGTCCACAATACTATTTTTACTCAGAGGGGATGCTGTATCTTCCCATACAGCAAGGATACAGTACTATACTGTATTGTGAGACACAACGGCAGTATGGTACCGTACCGTATCTTGCACCAACGGTATGGCACCGTACTGTAGTACCTTAACATTAGTTGGATGAGTTGGGTGACTTTAGCCCAATGCAGGTATATTGAGGGGGATGACAAGGGAATGGACTTACAAATGTGTATAGATATGAAGACATGGCCCAGAGGGCCGCCACTAGGGTACAGTACTGATACCGTACCTGTTTTGTGATACTGGAAAACCGGGTATCTGGTATCGTACCAGAAATTGATTACGGTACGCAATACCATACTGGGTCCTCCGCTACCGCTCAACAGGGGGGCATGGTGCCGTACCCCTCATCCGGTTACAATAACCACAAATACAATTACAAGGAGACCAGGTACGGTACGGTACAGTACCGGTACTGGCACCCTATATGTGGCGGCCTTGTATATACCATATGCCACATATGCCCCATACATATAATGAATACAATAAATGCCTTACATGTACGCACCATACATATAATGCATACATACAATAAATGCCTTACATGTCATACACACCATACATACTCTACATACCAAAGACACAAAACATTCAGAAATTTGAAAAGTTCAAAACATTCACTATATACCAGACATACAGGACATATAGCACTTGGCTTGCTTGTGTGAGAGGAACTACACAAGAAATGTGTCCTGAATGTCAATGCATTCCATGGGTAATGTGAAATAGAGGTCTACATAGAAAACAAATAAACTTCAAACCCCTTGATACATACAAAAAAACATACAATACATACAATACATACAATACATACACAGCATACACAACACAACAGAGAGAAACTCATCAG